AACTATCAACACTCATGGAAGCAGCAGTCAAGAAATCAAAGGACGTATTGCCTTAGGCAAATCTTCTGCACAAGACCTTTTAAAGATGTTGAAGAGCAAAGATGTCAGCTTGAGGACTAAGGTGTGCCTGACCCAAACTATGGTGTTTTCTATAACGTCATATGCATGTGAAAGCTGGACAGTGAATAAGGAAGACCACAGAAGAATTGATGCTTTTGAGTTATGGTGTTGGAGGAGAATACTCAAAGTGCCATGGGCTGCCAAAAGAACCAATGGATCCGTTTTGGAAGACCAAGCACAGCCAAAGTGCTCCTTGGAGGCCAATATGGCCAAACTTCGTCTCTTATACTTTGGACATATTATCAGGAGGAACCAGTTGCTGGAGAAGGATATCATGTTTGGTAGAGTGGAGGGTCAGATGAAAAGAGGAAGACCCCCAATGAGATGGATAAGCCAAGTGGCAGCATTGATGGACTCAAGCATGGCAACAGTAGTGAGGTTGGCCCAGGATTGTGCAGTGTTTCCTTCTGCTGTGCATAAGGTCTCTGTGAGTCGGTAGTGACTTGATGGCACCTTACAACAACAATATGTGCACCCATAATAAAGCAAGGCAAGAGAAACAGTGAAGGCAGGAGACACAGGGCCGAAGACTCCCAAGAAAAAGACTCTTGGCAGTGTTGCTTGGCATATTCGGTTACTGTGCTTCAGGGCTCACCTGTTCAGGCAGCCAGCAGGCCTCCTAGCAAGCATTATCACCCACAAGGGAGACCAAGTTCCTTTGTTAGTAATACTGCTTACGGGAGAAGTCTGCAAGATCCCGGAGAATGGTCTCCAGAAATGTTGCCAAACCAAAACGAGGGTTTGTCGCCTGTCACAGTAGTCAGTAACAGAGAATGGGGAGAGATTCAATCCAAGCTTTATTAAAAGTCTGGTGGATGGAGAAAATAGTTTCTCAAGACTGTCCTGTCCATTATGAAGAACAGGCACATTATATAGGGTAAATTACATTTGAATGTATACTATCTTAACCTCATGATAGCATTCTTTGGGAAAAAGAAACAATAAAGCAATAAACTTCCTCAAATATTTTACCTTTAGGTTCTCAGCTGCTTAATTCCTGAGATATAACTATCTGGGTAGGTCCTATTCTCCTTCTAGGACCATATAAGGTCATCTTAGCTAATTTATAAACTTCCTCATTTGAGCCGGAATGATTAAACCTACTCCATTTTGTTTAGGTCCGTAGACCCATGCTGTCATTATACAAAGCACACCATTCCCTTTAGCTGAGGCAATTTGTTGCCTTTGTTAGCAGTATCCCTTTCTTTATTAATAAAGTGGATAAACTAGGTTTGGGCTACAGGCTCCACCTAGTGGGTTTTCAGAGAAAAGCAGGTAAATTTAAAAAACGAAAAAACGAGAATTGGTTACAAAACCTTCTGTAAAGATGGACTCCTACTAGTTACACTGAACCAATTCTAGACTTATCCACTTCCATTGAGTTGATTCTGACTCATGTTGTTTTTGCTCGTTGACATCAAGTCTGCTCCAATTCACAGGAGTGACCCTGTGTAGGGTTTCCCAGACTGTTGTATTTATGGGAGCAGACAGCTTTATCATTCTATCTTGCTAAGTTTATAAATTAGCTGGTGGCTTTGAACCACCCATCTTTGGTTTAGGAGCCTGACATTCAATACAGTGTACCACCAAAGATCCTTATTATGAAGACAGTAGGGTTAATATGCGTCACATAATTGAACGTGAACTTCCAAGTCTGTGATTCTCAAACGTATGAATCTTTAGTCTGGGATAGCACCCATTCGCAGACTATTTTGAGACAGACTACAGTACATTAGGAATATCGTAGCTGAGTTGTTCCCTTTCCCTGTTAGGAATCCATCCTACTTATACATGCAGAAAGTGGAGTTCTGGCTAGCACAAATAGTTAAGCTTTGATTACTAGCCGGCAGGTTGGCTCTTTGAATCCACTCAGAAGATGAGACTTGGTAGAGGGTCAGCAAAATAGAGGAAGCCCCTCAATGACGTGAATTGTACACAGAGCTGCTCTGAGTTGGAACCAACTCAACAGCACCTAACAACAGAGGCAATGCAGAGGGCAGGACTGGCGATTGCTTCAAAATTGCACAGCCTTACAAATCCTACAGAGCACTTCTACTCTGCATGCACGGGGTCACCACTGGTTGTGAAGGCAGTGAACCACAAATGAAGGCTGACATAATGGAGCTAGAGCCCAACTATTTGGAGACCGAATGAGGCTTTCGAGTTCTCATGGGACCCAATACTTAGGCACCTTAGGACCATACCTGGTCTAGTCCTTGCACTCAGAAAAGGTGAAGTTTTATCAGCCAACACAGAAAGCTGACTCTATATTTAAAAATAATTGTAAAATTCTTCTGTCTTAAGAATCTTCTTTGGTAAATATTCCAATATAGTTTTTTATACATTATTTTCCTCTTATAAGAGAATCAGGGTGGCTTAAATATTCTCAAAGTGTTCTAGCACTAACCTTTCACTACTAATTCCATACCCTTTGACATGCTATTGTTTAATTGTGAGGATAATTGTTTTCTTAACTCTTTGGTTACCATGGTTGTTCTCAAATTTTAATGTTTTTTGGTCTCTGACTCATTATATTATTTTTGTTTTCCTATGATATAGTATCTCAGAGAGTCAAATACTGGGAGGGCAACACTGGGAAAAGAACTAACGCTATTTGGGAACTGGGTCAAGTACTTCCTCACGTACAGTAATCATTACATTGATACTTATAACCACCTTGTGAAGTATTTTACTTTACAAAAGAGGAAGTAAGGGTCAAAGAGGTTAACTGATTTGTCCAGCCAGTAAGTTAAAGAGGATCTGAATCTAGCTTTGCATTCAATGCACATCTCTATCTAAACCCAGGGTCCCTAAAAAAGGTATGCAACAAGATAATGAAGGAGACAAAGAACGGAATAATCTGCTATTGGCTACATATCACCACTGTTGTGGGCATTTTATTCACCTTTAAAATAAATCCTGTGCTGAAAACTGTCCAGAACTAAAATCTGTAATATACAGTGGGCAAGTACAACAAAGAGCCAGCATGTGTGTTTTGTTAAAGTAAACCATGCTAAGTCAAATAGAAGATACAGACTGTCTCTGCCAGGTACACCCCATAGGAAAACACAAATAACAAGGACTAGATAAAGGTTCTGAAGGAGAAGCAGCCTATTTCAAACAGAGTTCCTTCAGATTAACAGTGGTGAAGAAGGGATGGAAATTTAAATGTGAGTGAGGGTCTACTGTGTGCTCAGAGTTTAGTGTAATGCCTGGCAGAGATATGTTAAATAAGAATTTGTTGAAAGAATATCAGGCACTGGTGTTTACACATATTTTACATGATTTCTCATTTATATAACATGTTTATCTTTCTTCATTATCTTTATTTCCCTGACTAGTTACATATACACTATAATATGTACATAATAAACTTGTTTAAAAACTTTCAATAGGTACAAGTGATGATTACATTTCATTAGACTGTACTTGAAACTACACAAGATTTGTTCTGGAGTCACACTGTCTATGCAAAGAAACACACACATTTCATAAGACACAACAGAAATAAACAATGTAAGACAAGTGTCTGCTTTAGGAGTTTATTAATGAGCTCTTATATACACAGGGCTATCCACACTGTGGCTGAGAGCCCTTTTATACAGTCCTTTAGATGAGGTCCGACGGCTGAGAACTCTGTAATGAGACACATGGTCACAGAAAAAAGAAATCATCATGACTTTCAGTGATACTATTTTCCCCCAACTTTACTACCCTTTAGTTGGGGAGAGAAAGAAGTCCATTTTCATCTGCTGTATCTAAGATTTTGCAGATCACTGGAGATTCAACCTAAAGGACGACAACAACAGTAAACCCAATCAAAAGCTGACAAACTGAATACTTTACTCAGGATTATTCTGCTGAATATCTATATGTCTATACATGTCTATACATTTGCTAAATGTACATGAATCCTTGTTTTGGATAAATGGCCTACAAATTGAGATTTCTGAAAAAATCATTTGTTATCTATATAAAATATCAGATAATAAACAAGATTTTTTTTTTTTTTACCTCCAAGTAAAAGTGCTGAAGAAGAAAAGGAAGAGGGCAGTAACAAGAAAAAATACATAGCTAAAAGCATGTTGTTGTTAAGTGGTGTTGAGTTGGTTCTGACTCACAGAGACCCTGTAGAGGGTTTCCAAGGAACCTCTGGTGAGTGTGAACTGCTGACTTTGTGGCTCACTGATCCTGCAGTCCAGTGCTTATCCTACAGTGCCACAGCAGGACTTCAAGCTGAGTGTCTATGGATAACACAATAAAACTGATACAAAATAATGGCAAAATAATCAATTGTACAATTAAATGCAAAGAAAAACCTAAATTTTCTTGATGATAATCCATTTTGCAGTTTACTCTGGTAGAAAATATTACAACATAATTTATTCTTACTTTGTTAATAGTGATTTAAAAAGACCTACATTATACTGGACTTTTTAAAGAATTTGTATTATTGTAGTAGTAATTAATATTCATTAAAAATTTAAATAGTTTTGAGCACTTTTTTCATGTATTTTCTTAACCTTTTGAATGAACTTTAAATTAGACAGATACTACTTTTTCATTTTACAGATGGAGAATCTGAGGCACAGAGAGGTTAAAGACTTTCCCAAATTCATAATTTTAGCAAGCAGTAGGCTAGGATTTGTTGGGCAGTTTGGATCCACATTCTCTGTTACCAATCCATAGTTCTTAGAAGGACGGCTCCAGTGTTTAAATATTTATCTAGGGCAACAGGAGATAGTGATTTAATATTCACTTAACTTTAGATGAATTCCTTGGAAAGACAATCTTCGTAACTTCTTAAAGGCATATTTTTATCTCGGAGAGATAGTGGATTCAGTTCCAGACCACCGCAATAAAGTGAGTAGTGCATAAAGCAAGTCACATAAATTTTATGGCTTTCTGTGCATATACATTATTTATACTATGCTGTAGTTTATCAGGCATGCAACAGAATTATGTAAGTTTGAAATACTGTGAGAATTACTAAAATGTGACAAGAGAGAGACATGAAGTGAGCACATGCTGTTGGAAAACCGCAGGGTTGCTTTAAGTCTTCAATTTGTTAAAAGCGCATCTTTGAAATGCAATAAAACGAAGTATGCCGATGTAGCATTCACTGTACGGTACTGTTGCTGTTAAGTGCTGTTTTACAGCAATCCTGTTTCTGAGGTGGTAATCTTTGTGGGAAGAGAAAGCCTCAGCTTTCTCCCTCGGATAGGCTGGTGGGCTTCAACAGCTTATTCTACAGAGCCACCGTGCTCCCCACTGGATGGCATTAGATGCCATAAGTGGGTGTGTATATTTATATTGTTGTTGTTGTCAGGTG